TTTTGGTGGGAAAGTGACCACTTATCTGGGCCCGGGGAACACTTATCCTGGCCCGGGGAACACTTATTTTTTTTTTCGTTCCAGCCAGCAAGCACTTGTTACGGTCACCTCGCCTGTCCACTCTGGATATGGTTGCAGTCATAGACTATAGAAGTTATAGTCATAGTCATAGTTAAAGTTAAAGTTCTGATATATTATATACCATGTGGCTTGGCTTCTCTAGGGTCATATAACCGGGAGCAAGCATTTATTTTGGCAGCTGGTAAGCAACTGTCCGGTTGCTCGTTGAACTCTCGAATGCAGGCTCTTCAGCTTTTGAAACTTGCGGGATGTTGAGGATGGGTTTGAGTTTTGCTAGGTGTCGGGAATATGCCATGTTCCGCCCAATAGTTAGCACGTGCATATCGTGCCCGATAGCAGGCCTGTCATCCAAAGGTTGTTTAGGCCACCAAATCTAGGCTGCTGTAGCTGCTGGTGTCGCTGTTGTTGTGGTTGTTCTTGCATATGCTGCTCTGCTGCTGCTGCTGCTGCTGCCGCTGCCGCTGCCACTGCTGCTGCCACTGCTGCTGCCGCTGCTGCTGCTGATGATGTTGTTGTCGTGGTGTTGTTGTTGTTGTCGTGTTGTCGTGTTGTCGTGTCGTCGTCGTCGTCGTCGTCGTCGCCTTCGTCGTCTTCGTTGTTGTTGTGGTTGTGGTTGTTGTTTTTGTTGTTGCTGTTGTGGCTGGCGGTGGCGAATGTGAGGTTGGCTTTGAAATTTAGACTCATGCCACCAGACTGTAAGGCATGTTCTCTAATCGCGAACTTGGTGCCTCCAATTGTGACTCTTGGACTGGATCCTTGCAACCGGACCGGTTGAATAGCTCTAGTCTGTAGTGCTCGGTACCCCTCAATAAGGACATCCGCAGAGAGCCCACCTTTTGGGCTTGGTGATAGACTTGCGACCAGGATACCCATTAATTTCAAGCACTAGGTAATAGCAGCTCAGAAGATACCAGAAATCATGGCACACGGGCCCAACTGATGTGCCAGTATGTAACATTATGCAGACCTCTTTGTTCGGGGTTACATTTACACTGCACAGTTCGCTGTTATAGATGTGACATCAAATAAACAAGTTATATATCCAGTTGATCAATTTGATTATATCAAACTAGAACATAGCAGGTATATCAACTTATAGACTTAAAGCCTATAGCCACACCATATGTCACATCCATAACAAGGAACTGTGCAGTGTAAGTCCCTTAAGGTTTAGTCCTGCGGGTTTGGGGTTTAGGATTTAAGTATAGACTGGATGCCGCTTGTTGCTCGCCGGATCCTTCCAGCATCGCACAGGGCCCCCTTCCCCAGACCTCTGCTCCCTTCACCGTGTCAGCATGGCTTCCGATCGTTGCAACTACGACTGTCCCGGAGGCTGAACTGAGTGCGATCGAGTAACCTTCCTGGCCTGGTATACAGCATTGTGAGCTTGATTGGTTCTGATTCTGATTGAGCCAATGAATCTGTGAATAGTTTCACGATACGTGATACGAGAAGTCACACCATCTGTTGTTGCAAGTGCCGAGCCGCCATAGCTTTCAGCCCATATCCGATCTTGAAGGAGCCTCTGTCTTCGAACCACAGCCAGCAGACATACCGTACCCTTCTGCAGTCTGTAATCATACTCTAGGATAACTGTCTGGTCGTTGGTAGTATACTTAGGGTCTATACTATGATTCCATTTCTTATAAAACCAGGTCGTTTTCTCAGAAGTCTGCGAGGTTTCACCGGAAGTTTCAATACAAGTTTCACCGTTTCACCCAGGACTGAAGATGCTAGGCAGTCCAGCAACAAAGTAACAGGGTATCTGCTGACAGACATTATGGAGCCGCTGTGGATATGTGAGAGGGGATATGACACTGGGATTGATATGCAGCATCTGCAGTAGTGGCATGTGACATGTAGGATCCAGAATGCAGTGGTCTAGGTGCCGCCTGTGATTTGCAGTTTTAGAGCAGGGATTGCTTGGCCAGTAATGAGTGACGAGGTGACCTGCAATTTGAATGGTTGTGTGTGCGGCCAATTCTTGCTGGCAGCAACTCTCTTAGTGCACATAGGTTCCTGAAGCATAGTTGCAAGCAGCACTCCGAGTGAGTGCTTTCGCGAGTGACCATGCCCGATCAGAACGTGCCGTGTGTGCGATGCAAGCGAATGTGTGGCGAGGCTCCCAACCCCACTGTTCAGAATCCTGGCCCGCAGGATGTACTGAAACGTCGTGGAAAGCGGAACTTTTGCCAAAGTTGCTACCAATACTGTGCCTCCCATTCACCGTACTGTGACCTCGACTCCAAGGGTATCATCTCGAAGATCGAGGAAGATCAGGATGCCTACGATGCCGACCTCACCGAGTGGGAATCAAATCGCAGGCAGGGAAAGCGCAGCCGGGCTGGGGAGAAGTCGGTTAAGGTTGCAGCAGAGACACGATCGAGTATTACTACTCGTGTCCTGCTCGGATATTTGTGGTCGCAGTGCCTCCTCAAGCGACACAAATTGGATTCGCTTTGGGCTAAGCACCCCAAGACAACCGTCGTTCATTGCGGAAAGCCCATCACAGGCATTCTCCGTGAGGTAGGTGGCCCAGGTGCGGTGGAAATCTACAGCGATTCCCAGACTTCTGCAGTTCGGAAGCATCTGAAGGCGGACACGGCTGCCGATGATGCAGATGAGGATGCAGATAAATCGTTCCGAGATTTGACCAAGCACTTGACAGTCGGGGTCACTTCCAAAGAGTTGGAGGATGGTGAGACTGGCGAGCAGTCGCTGCAGCTCAAGTCCAAACGTGCCAAATTCGAGCAGGAAGACGAGGATTTCCTTTCCGTGTGGGGGACTTGTGGAATTGTGACTGCAGGTGCCAAGAGCAGTCGCGATTCCGATGATGAGGATGATCAGGAGAAATCCAAGCCGAAGAAACGTGCGAAGGGTAATGGTAGAGGTGGGGGCGGTGGGCCTCGAAAAATCAAGCAAGCCAGTGCACAAGCCGATGGTCCATCCTTGGGGGATGATGCTGCATCCCAGGCGGACACAGCCCGGGATTTTGGCCTATCTTCTTCCTGGTTGCTTGGTGGGAAGCCGCGAGGCCCAAAGGGCAAGGGCAGTGGGAAAGGCAACAAAGAGCTCGAGAGCACCGAGAAGGTGTTGACCCTCTACGACGGCATCTGCAATCAGCTGGAGAACGAGGATACCTTCATGTCTTTGTCTTTCAAGAAGGCCGGTCTTATCTGTCTTCCATGGTGCCAGAACAGTGTAGTCAGTGTCATATTCGTTTGGCAGAGCATTCGACAATCTATTGGTCGAGATTGTGAATGAATCGAATCATACTGTATGAATAAATCTCCATAAGTCCATAAGATAAACACATAATGGAATAATGGGCAGAGCAACCGACGGTAGACGTGACATAGATTCTAATGCGACTTTGTAAATTAAGTATATGAAAATATATGGTTGCTAACTCAACATACTTTACAACTTGCAACTAAGCGACTAGAGCTCCATATAACTACAACAACTACTACTACTACCACTACGACTACTACTACTACTACTACTACTACTACTACTACTACTACTACTGCTACTACGAGTACTACTACTACTACTACTACTATATACTCAGTACCAATTACAAAGTATACCGACAACACCCTCGCCCTATGGTTTCACCACTGTGCATGATGCTGCACGGTGCATGTTCTACATGCGAAGTCCCAGTGTGTTTCTTGTTTTGTTCTTGGTTTGTGGTAAGTTGCAAGTTGCAAGTGGTAATGTTTAGGTTTGAATTGTTGATATTGCCAGTACTGCCGGTGTCGGCTATTAGTGTTGGGTCGTGGCTAGGATTGCTGGTGGTGTTGTTGTTGTTGTTGTTGTTGTTGTTGTTGTTAGTGCTGTTCTTCGGTAGGTGGCAGATGTGTCGGACAAGCTGACCAACCGGAGCACGGAAGAGCTCATGAAGGTTTATAGGGACCTCAGCCAGTCTGGTTCCGAAGCCCAGAGAGCCGTTGAAACCATGCGGCGATTAGCGGCTGCGAACACACGGTCGACTAGCATTTGCCAGCTCGTCTCGGCCATTCACGACACTGAGGCGACGGCAGGCACACTTCGTGCGAGCATCGATGAAGCTCGCGATGCCGGTGTCAATTTGCCAATCAGTGTTGATAAGATCGCTTTTGCCCGTGTGATGTTGGAATTCTCGGCATCGGGACAATGGGATGATCTCTTCAATACTATCCAAGGGGAGCCTGTTCAAAACTTGTTCCAGAATGAGCCTGAGGCGGATAGAGCGGATAGATGTATGGAGTTCCAGTTCGTTTCGCTGAAGACCTGCATCATCAAGTTCTTGAATCAAGAGATTCAGGTCGCTAAGCCTGCTAAGGCGGAGGGCAAGGGTCCTGTGGAGGTCATCGGCAAGGAAGAGAAGAAGAAGCGGGATGAAGAGTTTAGTCGAGTGGCTCGGTGATTTCGTCATCTGTAGCACAGATAAGCATACTAGGTCTTATGATATATGATATGATATACGATATGATATTGATATATGATATATAGTCTCAGTGGTTCAATATGTCGGTATCAGTAAGGTTAACAAGTAGCTGATAGTAGGTAGGATTGGTGGATTGTCAATATTAGCGACTGTGTGTTTTAGCAATTAGGGTTTCGAGGTCACGGTTATGGTCTCGGCATTTGACGACTTGTAGGTTCATAAGCTGAACGGTGGGATTATCGTGTGGATCCTGTAGCTTGGAAGCACAATTCGGAAGTTGCAAGCTGATAGTGTTTAGGAAAGCTGTCCTGTATGGTCCAGGCCAAGACTATCTAATGTTGATGAAAGATTCGATTCTTTCATATGATATGACTCATATGACTATGCCATAACTTGATATAACTTATATAATATTATAACTATGACTATAACTCTGTAGTTCATAACTGTATATAATACATACATTTTATAAATATTTTGTAATTTATAATTATATTATATAATTATAGAATTTATATAGTGATCTTAGAACCTAACATAAACTATGAATCAATGTATTTATAAGTAAGGGCCTGACTTATTGACGAGTTCGTGTGCTGTTGGTTGAACTGGTTGCAATTTGTGTTTACTCGATAACTTATCGTGTGACATGTGGTAGCCTTCGGTTATCTAGCTACTTTCAGGCAATGACAGCGAAAGCCACGGAGCTAGCAGGCAAGATGAAGGGGCTTCTGTCCGGGTTCCGTGCATCTGGCCTTTGGGAAAATTGGTCTACTCATGCCACATTGTCGTCTTTTGTGGAGGAGTGCAACAATCTCAGTCTGCTGGTGTCGATCGCTGCACTTGCTGATGTGCCCAGTTTGTCTTCTGAGGAAGCTGAGAATCTGAAGAGTGCCCGAACGAGTCTCCTTGCCAAACGGGCAACCTTCCTCGAATCTTTGACCTTGTTCCCTCTGGGCCAGTTTGTGCAGCAGGCTACCAACTTCGCTTTGGAAGCACACCAGCGAGACCTTGGCTTCCTCACGGACCTTGATTTGTGTGTCCAAGCTGTTGCCCAGCTAAAGACTTTTACTCCCGACATCCTTTTCAAAAACGAGGATATCCAGATTCCGAATTTCAACAAAGTCGTTGAGGCACAACTGAAATTCAGCTTGATACAGCAGGCTTGCACCAATCACTTCAAGGATGCCCAGGCTAGCAAGCTTGCCCTTGTAGAGACCAAGTTTCAGGAACTTGCGGCCGCCATTCGAGGAGCATGCATTCTTAAGTTTCAGAGGGTTCTCTCTGATGATTTGAGGCAGGGATTCAAGCTTTTGTCTGAAGGGCAATTGGCGGTGGAGGGTCAGGCCAGCATGGTGGATGTCTTGACCAAATCGAAGACTTTCGCCCCGATGACGATGACCATCATACAGAAATGCCTCGGGCAAGCGGCCAGTAAGGAGATCGTTGATCTCCTCATCTATGGCCGTAGCTTCCTTACCATGTTCTCGGCGGTTTTCCCCCCCGTCCTCGCCTTGATCCAGAATGAGGGGCGCAATGATGCAAAGGAGCAGCTTGGGTCGGGGCGACTTCTGCAGGCTGACATGATCAAGTTCATGAAGCTCTTCGCGGACACGGGCGTCCAGAGGAGTCTGAAGGAGATGGACTCGTCCCTTTGGCTTCAGATCGTTGCTACAATGGACCGCTTGTGCAAGGCGGCTATGCCGCTTTTCCAAATCTGAGGTCTTGTGTTTCGCCTTAGGTCGTGCAAGGTTGTTGTTGACAATTGAATTGTTGGACTATTGATTTGGTTCGAGGTCCATTCTTGCAAGCGAATCCGTCGCCTTTGAGAAGTTTGTTCGCTTCATTGCGAGTGACCGCCAGCAAGAGGAGAACATCCAGGAAATTGTTGGGGAGTTTGACGAGGACGACGATCAGGCCATTGTGGATTATGGAGCTCTCTTCGATTTGTATGGTCGCCACGTCGGTGGATGGTGCCCCTGGACCCTTGATAAAGATTCGGCTCACCCGGTTGTTGTTTCGAGTGCATCCTTGTGTGCCGCCGGTGCTACTCTTCCTCTTGGCAAGATGATCACCCACATTGGTCGTTGGATCAGTAGTCTGGCGAAGCTTCCATCAAGTGCCGAGGCCAGTTCGAGGGTTTGACAAAGTGGCTGATTCATATGTTCAGTGGATTTCAGATCAGGGTTTGGCATTTATATTTATAATTATATTTATATTATATATGATATGGGTCGATTGATAGACTAATATATTGAATTATTAAAGATTTGGATTATAGAACCTAGACTAGGAAAAATATAGACTTTATAGTCTTATAGTCTGATAGTTAAGTAATTTGTTAAACAACATAAATGCACTATGTAACTAATATATAAGTTGTGCACAGCATATGAGCACATTTGATTCTTTGCCAGTACCAATAAATTACAAATTACAAGTGCTTGTCGTATAAACGAACAATATATCATAATATATCTTGCCATTTCTTTTCATATTCGGTTTGGTCCTACTCGTACTCTTGTTACAATGCCGCCATTGGGCCATCACCACTGGTTTTTGTCGTCTGCTTTAATAGTGCCATAGAGCTCGTAAAACTTTTCATTATTCATCTAATCCCTAAACCATAATCCCAAAACCCACCTTACTCCTAAATTATGTGCCATAACTAGCACTTATGGGACAGGTGTTCAAGAAGGACGTGTCGCCGCAGGAGATTCCGAGGCTCTTCGATGGTGGCATCATGGAAACATTGGGCTCCAAAGAGCACGAGCCGGGCAAGCTTATGCATTGCTTCCGTGGGGCAGAAGCAGCTGTGGGCATTGCACAGGATGCGAAGGCAACCATATTCGTGAAGGGCATCCACGGCAAGATCCCGGTGCTCTTCATGAAGATCTTGGGCATTGCTAGAGACGATTTCAAGGACTTCCGGGCAGCCATCGAGAAGCACTATCATGCGATAGATGGTTTGAAGGAGTTCTTGATGGCTTTGGATGCCGACAAGGTGGATGCCACGATGAGTGCAAGATTGTGCAATAGTGTATCCTTGAAGCATTGCTACAACTTCGTGTCCTACGGAGTGGACAAGATGACTACTATGAAGAAGACTTTGGTGGCCATCGCAGCTGCTGCAAGCATGGATGAATTCAAAGATGAAGCAGCTTATCAGTCTCTCTTTGCAGAAGTTCAGTCGGTAATTCAGGAGATGAAGCTGTTCATGGGTGTCGCCACCAATACCGATGAGCAGGGACGAATTAGCTTGGCAGGCATTTGTAGTTGTGTCGGAGATGCCACAGTGGCTCAATCCCTGTATCGCGAGTTGAAGACGGGGGAAACAAGACAGTCGCTGGTCAATAAGGCGTCTGCCGGTGTCAAGAAGAGGGGCTGGCGAGTTCATGCCCATCTTACGAGCCGATGCAATGCAATCCTCAGCGGCAAGCCTGTGCCAAAGTGAGTTGAGTCTCATGCGGCATGCAAGGAAGCGGTAGGCCTGCAATATTACATACCCATGGGCCATAGCCATAGCCACATAGCCTCAAATAACATATGGTTATGTTGCCTAGCTTGCAGGTCATGCGTTTCAATGCGAGTACAGATCTTATGAAGTTTCAGTGTGGAGTGCTGTGAAAAATCGACGTGCCGTGCTTGCCTGAAGCCAGAGCCACCCCCATAAGTATTTATTTTGCTGCTGAGGGTGATGGCGGTAATGCTAATGATAGTGCTTGTCGCTGCTGCGATGGCGATTGCCTATGATTTTTTTGATTGTTTGTTTCCATGATTCTAGAAGTCTATAGTCTATAAGTCGATAAGTCTGTAATGATTCCGATAATATCCATCTGGCTAATGCAGCCACTATTGAAATTGAAACCGTATCAAAACCTTCATCTTCCAATTTCCATAGCGATTCGGTGAATACTTCGATTTCGGTTGTCACGAAGTTGACCCGATGCAGATTTCATACTTCATTAATGATAAGTCATTGTCAATTATTATGATTTCGCCTATTCCCCTAAACCTTGCACCATAAACCCTAGACCCCCACCTTAAACCCTAATTCGTCGGCCATCTTGGTGGCTTACTCCTGGCGCCTGAGGCTCGGCCTGTGTCAGCCCCTAAACCCTAAACCTTAAGCCCGGGTCTCTCTCTAAATACTAGGCGCTTTCCTCTCCGGGTGCACAGGTCATAGCTCCAAAATGCCAGGCATAACAATTCATCAATGTTTAAAGTGTTTAGTGGCTTTACAGCTTTATTGGTACGAGAATCAAACCATCCTTGGTGTAAGCATCCAACTGTTTGTTAGTAGTTGCGAGGTTGAGTCATCGTTAGCATCATATTATTCAAGTCGCCCTAGAGGGGTGTTGAATCGCCCAGAAGTGGGGTCAATTCAAGTATCTAGTTTATCAAGAAATATGCAGTTGAATTATGCAGTCGTGTAGTCAACGAGTCAAAACGAATGAAATAATCGACTTATAGACTTTACTCAGGATCAAGTTACGAACTAGGTGAGGTTCAGTTCAGTTTAGGTGTTCAGTCGTCAATATTAAGTAGTCAGTCGGCCAGATTTCAGGTATGCTTAGTGCTCGTTTCGTCACGATTACGTGATTGTAGTGCAGACTCAAGTCTTCGGTTGTCCAGGTTAAGTGATAACATGTCGGTTTAAGTGTTCACTTTGGTACCGAAATAATTGAAATAACTGTTCACTTGTCCAGATTTAAGTGTTCACTTGGTACCCAAATAAGTGTTCGTTTGTCCAGATTTAAGTGTTCACTTTGGTATGAAATAAGTGTTCTTTTATCCAGATTTAAGTGTTCACTTTGGTACCGAAATAAGTGTTCTTTTGTCCAGATTTAAGTGTTCACTTGTCTGATTTAAGTGTTCACTTTGGTACCGAAATAAGTGTTCTTTTGTCCAGATCTAAGTGTTCATTTGTCCAGATTTAAGTGTTCACTTGTCCAGATTTAAGTGTTCACTTTGGTACC